GTCCGATCGTTAATTTCAACAAAGTTATGAATATTTAGTCTCTGTATTCACATATAGGCAAGAGGAAAACTCAATCAGGTGAAAAACCCACGCCGAGACTTTGCTGCATTTAGTAGTATGATCTGTAAACCCTGGATTCGTTTTCAGTAAAGTCACAAATAGCTGATTTAGTCTCATATCCAACACTCTTCTCAAAGAGATTATCTTCTCCAGTTGCGTAAACCTCATATATCTCTGTGTAGCAGCGGAAGTCCCTAAGGTTTACATCAGCAAGATGTTTAGAGCCGTCAGTGGTGAGAGGCAACAACTTACTATAGGGTGCTGAGAGTTGAGGAGGTACATGTGTTGTCTTCAACAGCCCACCGAGTCTCAAAATACCGTGTAGGGGCCTCATTCTCTTCGAGGAAAGGAGAAGGTAGCCTCATACACTCTGTTTTACCAGGGGTAGGAAATGGAGGTTTACCCTTAATGCACAAGTGAGTGGAACTTGATAGTACAGGTTCTGATTATGCGCATAGGGTGTCATATCCTAATATTGCTCCCAACTTATGATAAAAATGAATGTGTATATGTTGATTTTAACATAAGCCTCTGCATTTACATTGACGGAGAGGGAAAACCTATCACAATAACGAGGGAAAAGCCCTCTCCCAAGGCTTGTACGCAGGAATCTCGATCAAATAAAACAGAAAACCGAGTATCAATGCAGATGAGTGTCACCTCAATATCATGCTAGTCGAATTTTGCCATCTACCAACAAATGATTTTGATATGATCCTTATCGTACTATCCATCAAATTTCGCCTAAACATGGACATCCACGTAGAGACAATTATCCTCTAAATAGAGTTTAATGGGAGCTGATACAGCCCAGAGATTGATATCTATAGTATTTTAATTCCACCCTTCATGCTTCAGGTGAATGTGCCTAGATCGACGCCAAGAATGGACAGAGTAATAGATATAATGCCGGTGTCGAGATCAATATATCCAATAAACTAATAGTCGCAGAAATTAGTATACTCTTCCATTAATAAAATGAAGAAAGTAATCCTGATTCTGATACTCTGAGAATAGCCTACACAGATAATCTTCTAGCAAAAGTCAATGGGAATTCTAATGTCATCGGACGGTGGCTTGGCCCAAAGGTCTTACATCGTATGCACCATACAGCCAGATATCTCTACCATCCGTACAATGCATATTACAGCGCATCTAACTCAAGAAATGTTGTCTACTATGATGATACAACAAACTTGTTAGAAGAAAAAATAAATACATATTGGCTCATCTAACGACTTTTGTACCCTGAGGGAAACAATACCACCACATAGAATGAACGAGTATAACAGAGACAGGAAAAGCAAAAATCTAAATAGAGGATTGACCATTACTTCTGTTGAATATGGTAAGTACCGATCGTCATTTTTATTCATGTGAAAACACGGTTAAGGGTAGACTAGGCGCCAGCCAGCTTCCTGTTCCAGGTCGTGCTGTCTTTTAATTCTCTCCATTTTCCAGAACTTATAAAAAACAGTTAAGGCTAGCGAGACAGCCGCGGAAAGGGCTGTTATAATTACTGTCAGCAGAGACATGATGGACCATTTTCCATTCTTCGCTGTATAAATATTAATGATTGTCGTGAGAAGTCCAGCTGATGCATTCAGCGAGGTTGGTCTATTCAATCTGTTAGTAACAACACTTTCCATATTATGCCTCCAAAGCTCACATAAATAGCCGGTTAATAAGCCACAAATAATTATGTTTCCAGCGAAGAAAAAGGGAGGCCGTAAGGCCTGCGCCGATCGCAAGTAAAGAGCATGCTATGCCCACCAATGGTGGATTTTGGATAGTATTAAGGATAGCTCTTTCTGCATTATTCTGGGGCAGTCCATTTTTCATGGTATCGGATGCTTGAAGTGTCGTGAATGTTCCGGGAATGACAAGGTAGCCAGCCAGCAATATCCAACCAGCGGAACCAGAAAGGAAATTGAAACTCCAGTGAATATCGGCAAGCTCACGAAGCATGCTTTCATATTGAGTATCCACTATCAAGTTCGTAGCTTTACGATTGACTCGCGGTCCCGTACCACTGGCGTTTTGCGACACCGCATGTTCACCATCACACGCCTGGCTAAGTGGGGCGGCATTCGGTGCAAGTTCCATCGTCCAACAAGAAGGTAAATCTAGAACATGTGAAAAACAGGATGGATTATAAGTATAAACTGGGGCAAGAGAGGGTACAGACAAGGCATAGGGGTTGTTGATGCAATGAGTAATAGATGTAAAGAAATACCCATATCGCTCTTCCTGGTCTTAGGGTGTTGGCTGCCTAATAAATAAGTTATTAATTCCATTTACTACTGTCCCACCATCTAATCTTTCCATCAGGGGCTGAAACAGGGTAATATTAAGAGGGGCCATTAGGCAGTCGATAATTTTGATAATTCAGGAGGTGAACACTACCTGCAGGGTTCCTTAAGATCATGCCTTCCATTCTACCTGTCGTCTATCTAGCTTAGACAAAAGTGCCCGACTATGTTTTATATAAACATGTACGGTAAATATAGGTCTGTTGTGTAGGTTCTGGAGGGGATCATATTGCAGTCAATATATGGACCTATTTTCTTGTTTCGCGATATATTGTCATGTATTGGTTGACAATGTCTCTAATTTTTAGTAAACTACTCCGGAGTATTATGTTCTCCATCCTCTGCCGATGTTCACCGAAACAGATGGAAAAGTTATGTTTATACATGCTAATCTTGTTTAGTTTACGAATACAGTATCCCGGCGCTTATCCAATCAGTGTATTCTTCAAACCTGCGTTGAAATGCACTGTCTCCTAGCCAATGTGCATAAGACATTGATTGGCCTGAGACACCAAGGTCCCGCATTGAATCTCATAAGGGGATGCTTGATCACCGCTTAGCGACCAACCTTTGAAACCACTCTGTAGGGCGTTGTATTGGCAAATAATAACTTACCTGCAGAAGCTGGTCGATAGCTGTATTGGATGGTGCCGCCGTAAAGTCATGGGCTAGCAAGCCCATTGTCCCAGTGCCACCAGAGATGCCTTGGAGACCGAGGAGCTGCCGTGCAATCTTTAGGATCGACTGGATATCCTTCGATTTTTCCTGTGGGCTGGATTCTCTAGCCATGCTTTCACCGATTCCTGCTACCGTATGTCAGACCAGGATAGCGATTTACAAAGAGAATGTGCCCACCTATTTTGATATCACCGCTGTCGTGGATGTAGATATCCTCCTCACAGAGAGCACCATGGTTTATGCCTAGGGTACCATGAATGTATTGCAGCGCTTGAAGCATCTATTTCTATAGTTAGTCGGCTCTTTAGCTACAGGTGGTTCATGCGACAAACCTGAAAGCAGACTGTAGCCACTTCGACTTCCCCAAGCTGGAAAGCTGGCCGAAGGTCTTGAATTTCTCTGAGCGAAATACCTTCCCACTTGTCGTAGAAGAGAATCAAAGATTCTTCGGTCACAAAAACCTCTTTAAGGTTTACCAGGTGCCTATGTGAAGTTCTCTTGAAGCAATCCATTTTTGGCCTCTCGCCCCTCGCGGTGATAAGCTTACTGACGAACGAAACTGGCATATGTTCTGTGAATTCGATGGCATCAATGCCTCCCCATGCAGGGTCTAAGCCAACAAAAAGGCGGTCCATTGTAAATGGATTTCCATACTTAACAATATCAGTTGCTTCTTCACACATTGTAGGCGTCTCAGCACGATCTTCTCGGCATTCCTGAGACAAAGGCGTTTGGAATGGTGACCCTAAGGGCGGCAAGATTGTAGAACGCATGTTGTGAACGCAGCCCCACCTCAAGGATAATTATTTCGTTGAGAAGTAAGTACAGTTTTACACGGTGAATCATGCCATGAGCTGGCTTTCACCGACTATAAACTTAGCCTGTTTGATTAACATCGAAGGATTTTAGAGTAGATCCCAAGAACTCAACTTAGTTTTCATGGTACTCAACAGCCCTGACGCTAGTTAAAGGCTAGAGGCGTCTCAGCTTTGTCACGGACTCTATAATACTAATCAGCCTAACTTCCTGTGTTTTTTTTTGTATTCTTTTCTTCCTGTGGTTGCTCAGTTCTATAAAGGGTCCACCTAATATTCCCACCCGGTAATTTAACGAAGAACAGTATTTTGCCCGATTGCAGTTGGTATATTTCCTTATCCCTGTCGAGCCAGAACACCGACGTAAAAAATGTATATTACAATTGTAAGTTATATCGGTCCACACACTAGGGCTGTTATTACCGTAAAAGTCCGCGTAACTTACTCTGTATTAAATCATTACAGAGGCTTAATCCCACCTGCCTCCTTATCATTTCGAACGGTCTCCACTTTAGCAGCCCTATTCGGAAAAGCCGATTTACGGTACTGTATCACATTAAACCTAAAGCATAAGTGACGCATAGTAAGAGAATAATATCTGAGACTGGCCATGAATAATACAATGTCCCAAATTTATGTTTCTGTAAGATACCACAATTTACTTTGGAAGGCTCAGCCCTAGTTTGTAATTTACCGAATGTGACGTAAGAATAAACCTGAAGAGGAATGTTTTACAGATGCGGTCCATCTGGACGACTCGGTCCACCTGGATAACAGAATATAGCTGATTCGCTGCAGATACCATACCAAGAGAAGACAAGCACTATCAATTCATTACATACACCGCCCATCAGGACGGCACGGTCCACTGGGACAACACGGTCCACTGGGACAACACGGTCCATCAGGACGGCACGGTCCATCAGGACGGCACGGTCCATCAGGACGACACGGTCCATCAGGACGG